TGCCTCTCTGGGCGAAGTCATGTTTATAGGTTTAGGCTAAAATCCGTAATTGACACTTTGGTCCCAGAAGTTTCTGCGCCTGCCGCGGTTCTGCCGCGGTCGCGGTAGAACTGCGGCCAGACACCCTCGCGGAATCTCTGAATTTCTGCAGCTGCTTCCCACCGCGGTTCTGCTGCGGTCGCGGTGGAACCGCGGTGGATCCAGTTCTCTGAATCTTCGGCCTGTTTTTGCACGGGTCACTTAGGAAATTTCACAGTTGGCCTCTTTTTCATCACTTTTGACTCCAAAACTGCTCCTTAGCCGTCTTTATACATATATCACCTACAAATCATGAAAAGCACTAATAAGAGCATTTTGTCATCACTTTTAACATTAAAACTACACAAGAAGGTGATTATTTAAGGTGTGATTATAGTCAAATTCACCTATTATCATTTGTCCAATTCCATCATTAGATTGTGAACATTATCTTTATACTTATAAGAACCGATGATTTAATCTTCTGTGTATAAGCTAGACTCTATACACTAAATCATCTACTATATAAGTAAAGGACACAAATGAATATATGACCTATTTAAAACTTTATTAAAGTTGAATAAATAATTGTTCCATAATAAATACTATATCCAAACCAAAATCCATGATTAATAGTATATATCACAACAATCTCCCACTTAGACTTTTAACCATAGCTAAATGCATGTTTAATAGTATATGTCGTAACAGTAAAAAGAAACTGTACAAAGTCGATGAAACCGTCAGGAAGTTTAAGGGAGAATCTCTGGGAACGTGGACTCAAAAAGGAAGAGACGAACAAGGAAAGATGAAGATGGATGATCTGCACAACTACTTGTGTGGCAATCTATCTCTTCACGACTGCTTGTGTGGCAATCTCTTCTCTTCTGAAGAGAAAGCGGAAGATGCACCTATTTTTCAGTTAAGTTTAATCGTGTGTTTATTGAGTAGTCTTAATGATAATCATTGAAGTGCACGATACACCCAAGATGTTTGATGATATGCATGACTTATTCACCAAATCATTTGAATAACTACATAATGTAAAACATGTTTTAAATAGAGTTCTTCTCGCGAATGCATATCTTAAAACTGATCTTTAAGAACAATCATAGCTTTAAAATTGGATTGCGACTCACAGTGCAGTTGACTAAAGTAATAATTTATTTCTTTGACACGTCTAGCTTTTATTTTTTTTGTAATATGACAAAATCTAATCAGCAATTTGGGCAACCTAATCTCTAATATTTCAAATTGGTTCTTCTTTGATATTGAGTAAAAACTACAACAAAAAAAAAAAAAAAAGAGAAATGGACTTCGACGTTGCTACAACTTATTCTTTTCCATGAAGAAGTAAACTAAAGGTAACTTCCTTTTCCCTTTTTTATATGCTTAATGCAGGACTATTGCTTACAAAGATCAGTTGACGCCTATTCAATTCAAAGAATATTACTATAAATATTTTATCCATTTTCTTTTAATTTGTATATTGAGTCTATACTTCAACAACGAACAACACTTGATCAGCCAACAACTGAAGAGATGTAAGGTTGATTATATATTAAAGATCAACCAGTAAATTCATTGTTAGATAAATTTGAAAAAAATATGAAGTAAAGATCAACTATTGAATATGTTTACCCTAAAAATCGAATAACAATTAACTTGTAATGTGGTTTTAAGGATACGTAATTTCACTTAATACCAATTGATTAATTTTAGAGATAAAAGATGAAATTGACAAGAATATAAGACAAACCGATGTTTGGACAGTGTCTGATGAACCATCGAGAGTAATAAAGCAAGAACATTTAAAGAACAATAAATTGATGAACAATAGATAAATATTATATTGCTTTGATCTGTATGAATATAAGGTGTCTACAAATAATGGGGACCCCCTTTATATACTAAAGGAATCCTAATTATGGTACAATTCTAACTATGGAAGTAAATCCCATGATTGGTACAAATAATCGCCCTCTATTTCATCTGCTCCGAGATTTTAGCCGTGATCTCCGACCGATTACGGATATCTCGCCTTTCCGTTATTGCATTTCACTCGAAGTCGGTTATACTTAGTCTCGACTGCTGCTGGCCTCGGTCTCGACGGACACTTCGATCTTTGGAATCGATGCCTCATCTTCGAGCTTGGGTCTGATTCATTACGAGGTTACCCCCGACGCAACTCCCTTGTCTCGATCAAATAGCAAAATCGGGTAGGCCCGATTTTGACCGTATACAGATAATTTGTAAGATATAAATTTAAAAATAATTTTGTCATCCAGTCCCGTCCGAGAATTATTCAGCTTTATGCATTGTTTCACTTCATTGAATCATTAAATTATCATATACTTCATGCAATGAAATACTATAAATTACAGAGGTCTAGGAGACTAGGACCACTAATGTTTGTTTGCATAAATTTTAGTAGATTTTATACTTGATTATGGAAGCAAAATCTGATAGCTTTCCATTTTCCTTATATTATTTGGATTCTTTGGTTTTGCATAACGTTATCAAGATATCAATCCACTATGTATCGGTTGTGCAGTTATTTTTGCAATTGTAACATTTTCAGAACTTTTTATATAATTCTATCCATTCTACCAACATATCTTTCTATTAGTACAAATCATAAATACGTCGTCGTTTGTGTTTTCTTCGAGAGCTATGCATAGTGATTTGTACTGAATTTTTTTTGGTCCAAAAACATATGACATGAGCATATCCATTTATATTTTTGGTAGTCAATGTGTAGAGTCGCATTATATTACTTTTTCATTTTGAGATAGGATTGACTATTACTTCATATGACCCTAAACTGTAAAACTTTAGGAGGTATTAGAGTATATGGTAATCTTACAAGGTATAGAATATGAAGAGTGGTAGTGTTCATAATATTTTGAAGATTAATTGTTCACAACAATGTTAAAGTGTTGGATGAAGCAAGTGATTTGGAGTAAAGAATTGGATACTCATAAATATAAAATAATATTACTATTGCTTCATTTTTCAAGTTTCGTTTTTCCTTCTCTTCTTTATTTTAGATCTCTTTATATGCTTATTATCCTTAAAATACATTTTGTTATTATAACTAAAATACAGACATTATTTGCTCAGATTTACACTTAAAGAGGATAAGTGTTTCTTTGGAAGACATGTCGTCTCAGTTGTTTTATCCAATAATTCATCTCTTAAGGGGATAATATTGATGCTCTTTGTACTCACCGAAGCTACTTTGGTCCTAAATATGACATATATTAATAACCATTGAATAGTGACAAAGACGACATAGTAAAATATAATCATCAGAAAGAGTTAATAGGCACTAAGCAGTATATGGATAAATTTATGCGCAACATTCAGATTTGCAGTTCACATTCTTACTCAAGCCTTAAGTTATTGTTGTGATGAGGGTGGTTTGTCGCCACCATTTCTTGAGCCCTTTCCACTACTATATTTCATGTAGAATGTTCTATTGCTCCACATCTCAATTGCAGCTATATGCTTTCTTTTAGTTATATGACTCAAGTTTTTTTTAGTAAAAAAGGTACTGCCCAAAATAATGTGAGTTAAAGTATCTATATGGGAATTGATCGTAAACTCCTTACTTGGTGTAGATCCCCTTCCTTGTGAATCAGTTTCTCGGATACAAGAAATGAGTGTTATCATCATTTTTATTTGTGTTCTCTTTTTATTCTTTTCTACTTGTGCCATAGTTATTTAAGGCGCATGTAGCTAATTATTGTTGTTAAGAAACTGAAAGACATATTCATAAAAAAATGATTTTAGTTTTTAGTAGTTTAATTCAACCTCTTCAGAGTAGTCAAAAGTTAAAAGCAAAAGAAACGCTATGGCATGCCAGATTTTTAACTCAAAACAAATGATGTATGATTTTTTTGATTATATTATTCGCAAAAAATAAGGCTTGAACCAAATTTGACATGTGAATATATTGATAGGAAGCTGAGTTTTCGACTGTATCAATTGTCAATAGCCACTTTGTGGGTTCTTATGCATTTGCTTTTGTAGTTGATTTCCTTTAATAGTTTTGTTTTTAAAATTATTTCTTATGCTAAATCTTTTAGAATTAAATATGTTTTTGTTTTGCACTATTACGGCTTTGCAACTATAAGATGGGAATATTATTTGCTTTCACAAATCCCTTTGAAAGCAAGGCAACAAACAATATCATTTTCCAGAGGTTCCTTCAATTTTGGAATACGTCCATAAGAATCGTCAAGTTTGTAATGCGTCCTCTTATAGTAATATTTGCCCCTAAAGTATTAAATATTGTATTTAATTGAAAAAGGGTTTGTAACGAAGCAATGGTAGTTACGTATATCATAGAAAATGTTAGTAAGTAATAAGACTGATCCAAAAAAATAAGAATATATGCGTCCTCTTATAGTAATATTTGCCCCTAAAGTATTAAATATTGTATTTAATTGAAAAAGGGTTTGTAACGAAGCAATGGTAGTTACGTATATCATAGAAAATGTTAGTAAGTAATAAGACTGATCCAAAAAAATAAGAATATAAAATCTGCAATACGGCACACATGATTCATATACATCTGGTTTTGTTATCTCTCCGTTCTTTTTTCCTTTGAAATGATCCACGCATCGCGTGGGTACGTATACTAGTTTCATTGTCGTGCATTTATACTAATGTCGACTTTCCTGAAATTGAAAAGCCATTGTAACTTAAGGCAATCAACGTTCTAATCTTGTAGAACATTGCAATGTATTCTACTGTTACCTGTAAGCAGTACCTAATTTTGTCTCACCACAATTACTGATAATGTGTTCCTTTTGTTTTTCATTTCTCATTAAGTTTGCATTACCTTCTTTGAGTATAATTTCCACGTAAACGAAACTAAATTTTAACACTAAGTGTAACTCGACTCTTCTTCACATCTTTTTTGGTTTATTTTTCCACCAATAAGTAGCTAAAAAAGTCCACTAAATAGTACTGAAAAAATAGAACAACAAACATTATCAGGAATACAGATCAAAGAGAAGAAATATGAAGTATACCAAAGTAACACCTCAGTAAATAAACTCCATGAGAGACTGTAAATTTGAAAGCTTACAAATCTGTGATAATGACAATTCGAATCAGTGAAATTCCACTACAAGGAAGAGCTCTAATCAAAACCATTTGGAGATCAACCAGCTGAACCTCGTTCACCAATAAATGATCCACAACCTCTAGCGTCAGAAATTATTTTCTATATCAGCAAATTGGGTCAACCCACCACGCGATATTGTTAGCAAACTGGTTAATACTCTCTTCCCTTAAACGGCATTTCCTGTCATGTATCAATAAAGCAACAGTCAGTTTGAGCCACTGTCCATTGGTTTTCTTACTCACTATGCGGGGGGCAGGGGGGGGTGAAGCCTCCACTAGTTTGTTATATGACCTACGAGACTTGATACAGAAAGAGAGCATGCGTGATAGGATGAATAAACATTGAGATCTGGCTCTCGCTAGAAACAAGAGAGATTTCTCATAGAATTAGAAAACTCAACTCTCAAGTACTCCGTCTAATTATGCACAAAAGGGGTTATTTGGCCAAATATAAGATCAAACAATTAATTGTACAAGCACATTAATCAGAAATGAAGTGTGATTGATGTAGGAAGCAGCCGACAGACCGGAGCACAGCTTTGGGCTGTCATGTAAAATAATCATTATTTTGGTGTTACCCGACAATTATGGTCTTTATCCAGAAAGCTTTCCCCACAACTTGAACTTTTATCAATGCTGAACTATGATAGTGGGAAGAATAGCAAAACTGGAAAAGATCAACAAAGATAAATGTAAAATGTCAAAAACAATTCTTACAGGGGGGTAATTCGGCATATAGACAACTTGCCGAGGGTGACCAATCATCATCTGCTGTCCATACTGCATCAAAAAGATTAGAATGTTGACACATTCTCAGACGCGCTTCAAATATAATGGCAGAAGAATCAGTAAGCATATACGATAATAACCCAAAAACTAACGAACCTGCGGTCCATACTTTGGAGGAAAATGGAAAAGAATAAAGTAACGACACACACAGAACAAGTTCCCTGCTTATTTATTTCTTTAAACTATAGGCAGATCATAAGGCAAACCGAGCTTAACGGTAATACCAGAAGATAGAGGATGACACAAAGTCAAAAGCATGAATATTCTCGAAGAACACACAGCACTAGTTATAACCGACAAGAGTAGTACAATATTTTACCAGAATTGACTACAAGAGCAAATGGAGTTCCAGTAACTCCGTGAAGATGAGAACAAAGGGTAAACAATCACAGAAGTGTTATTTTACGAATGACAAAGAATCCTTAATTTACTCCACTCATGTAAATGACCATTCTTAGGAAAACTCGCTAGCAGATTTTACATAATAGGTTACTAGACCAAATATATAATATTTCCACCAGCATAAGCCCAATAACCGAGTCAAATTAGCGCTGATGAACACTACATAAGTACATATCTAGACATAACATGGTAATACAGACTCTACAGAGTCGACCATGCTTTAACTTCCAAAGACATACCAGATAAGATTCATACCAAAAAGATTGTGTCTCAACAAATTTAGCATTATATTAGCATTTGACAGTAAACTATACAAGCATCACTTACCCCAATGCCAACAGGCATGCCATGCATGTGCGGGACAGTAGTCACACCAGCTGGATAGTAGAAGGAATTATCAGACACTGGCGAAGCAGGTCTCAAAGGTGATTGAGATGGGGTGAAACTCTTTGCATTAGGATTTAGTTTAAATTCCTGACAAAATATACAACAGAAGCAGAATGATAAACATGTAGATTTTTAGCCAAAGGAAGGGACAAAAATTAAACAGCATAACTCCAATTGAACTATGGAAATTTTGTCATTTTGTTGAACAAAGAAATATTAAGAAAAAGTCCTTACCTTAGCATGTGGATTCAATGTGGATTTTTCTGACGAAAATGAATTTATAGAAGAGGTTCGTGATAATCCATTGTCAGCTGATGTTGAGGTAGCACCTGTTCCATCAGAAGCGGATAGAGCAGAACTACTAGGTCGCACACGAGAATTAGCAGATTGTGCAGTCCCCTGAATCTTGGAAGACACCACACCCTCCAACTTCTCTCTAGAAGAACTTGTGATCTTATCCTGGCGCTCTGGATGAACACACGATGCGGAGATGTCTGAAGACAATCTACCCCTATCAGAGGTATCCATCTTTATTCTTGAAGAAAACTTTGAATCTGCACGAGTTTAACCTAACATCAACAAGAATGGAAGTTGGGAAACAGACATTTTGACAGAGCTGAATTTGCACTATCAAAGGCACAAGTGTGTCACAGACCAGCAGACAGAAATTACCAACATGAAGTAACTGTTCTTGCACAAGCATGAGAGATCTTGTTCCTCTGTCACAAATTCAATCTCAATTTTCAAAACTAGACAGTTGGAGGCAAAATGTAATCGACCTAAAATTTTACCATAAACAGGGATCTCTGAGGGACCCTATATCATTTGATTGCATGAACACCAATATATGTGAATGTTACCAAAATTAAACCTAGATTGTATCTTTGGGCGTGCTTTGATGCTCAATTAGTATTTCATCTACATGGAAGATCAGATCAGTGAAAAGGCTACCTAGAACCGTGCTTCATAGGAAACAGACAGAACATAGGCAGCTATTTTGTTCTAAGTGAAGCATCAAGGCACATCCTCAACAGTCTTGGGGCAGATACTGTTCGTTCTTCAAGATAACAACTATTATCCTACTAAGTTTTAAGAACATAAATTACAAGAAACTGAAGAGAATAATTAGCAAGCTACAATAATAAATACAAATTTGGAATAGAACTTAGCACAGAATCAGATCTGCCAATGAAGCATGCGTTACTCAATACTAAATAACAAAAAGCTAATTCGGTGTTACCACTTTAACATTTTTCATTAGAAAGCACATTAATAGGATAACCTAATTATTCTCGGTCAACTGCATAGAGAGAGCAATAGATCAAGTTCGATGAAGCAATTTAACCATCAGCACACAAAAGGTCAAAAGTTGAAATTAACTAACTAGATAAATTGTAGATAGTAAATCAAATAAATGGAAGTCCATAACAATGCTACTTTATCACCCCCCCCCCCCCCAACCAAAAAATAAACCAAGAAAGATTTTGTAGTCATACAGTAACATCCACCTATATATAGTGTAGATTTTGCATTTTGAATTAGGGGCTTGAAACTTGATAATGAGCCATCGACAGCCAGAATTTATCAGGTGGATCCAAAAGCTTACAGTTTTACAAGAGAAAGGTATGCAATATGCATCATGTTTTACTGGTATTTCACCACTTCTACAGAATTCCAAACACACAAATAACCTGTTTCCTTGCACAAGTTACCATTTCAAGAAAGTTCAATTATTAAAGATCTCTGTTCTTTCTTTTAACAGGTCAAATTTCTCTTTTCTTTGGGTACAACTGGTTACTCTCTTTTACACCTAAAGGTACCTTTAACATCTTAAGGTATGTATCATGATTAGAGGTAACTTCACTACTACTGTTGCAAAACTTGCATTTTAATTGCAGAAGATAACCTCCATTTTTCCCTTAATAAAAAGCCTCCATTTTCACTTTGCCACAGATTACCATTTTGAGAAAGCTTTATCGTAAAATTTTCTAATCCATTTCTTTTAAAAGCTAAAAGTTCTGGTTCCTTCATTTGCAATTACGTAGCTGCTTGCAATTTACGCCTGAGTATATTAGCATCTTGGAAAACTATATGTTAACATCTAAAAAGTTATTGGAGGTCAATTGACGAGGAACTAATTATGCCATCACCTGTTGACACATCAATATTTTTAGAAATTCTAGTATGAGGGAGTTAAAGAGGCCATTGGAGTATTCAATCCAGCCCTGAATTAGAAGTACACAAAGATGAATTTACACATCCAGATGTGCAAAAGAAAATAACATCTTTATAACACCCCCCTCCCTCCCCCTCCCCCCCAAAAAAAAAGGTTATTCCTAATATTTTTTGCTCTCTATAGTACTGATGTTAATGCAAATAATACGTGAAACAAGTAAAAAGCCCCACATATTACAGAGATAAATTAGCCAAAATAAATGAAAAATGCAAATATTGTTGGAGAAGATCCACCATTTTCAATGTAAGGGAGATAATTAAAAAATTCCATTCACATGAGTTGGCATGAAAAATGATACTACTCCAGCAGCAGAAGACATGCTCACCTTCCGGTAATGACGTTTGAGCTTCTTCAGCTATCTGCATGAAACAACGAACACCAACCATAAGAAAAAAATTCCAAGCAAAAGAAGACAAACATTAATAAGTAAAATGAAAGCACTAAGCATTATGCAAGTCAGAGATTAGCTAACCATTTGATTTCTTCTGTTCTCATTATTGCAATTTGCCCCAGCATGCTCACTAAACAGACCTTTGAGTCCCCTAAAAAGATAATTTCAGTTAGAGAGATGATAAATGAGATCTTTAACAAGGCTATTTATCAATTAAAACAATAGCATTCATGATACCAGAATATAGACTTCACAGCCTAAGGGGATAAAAAGAATCACCGTGGCAGAAAGGAATGATTAATAGCAAACCTGTTTAAGATAGAGGCACCTTTAGGAACAATTTCAGCCGATGACTGTTTAGAATGATCATCATAACAAGTCTGATAGAGATCCCTGCTGGTACTTAACTGAGAAGATTGCACTTCATCCTTCAGACAAGAAAGGCACAGAAATACTAGAAGACGTCATATAATTAGACTTATGTCAACTATAATCAAGTACATAGAAGCTAAGGTATTATTTATAGGCTCTTAAACCACATAACTCACTCTGAAAGTGCTTGGTCGAATACATGGACAATTCTCATATTCGCCAACACTAGTAGACTTTAACTAGCCAATGAATATTTTCTAACTAGCTTGAGATATTTGACTAGCATGAGTATGACGATAGACTTCTTTTGTCATCCATATCTTAAGTTAGTGCCTTGGATGTCGTAATAAGAAATTACAAGTTACACGAACAGAACCCAAAATACACCCATAGAAGGAAAAAAGCCCCAGTACCACATATGAACAATTTTCCCATAGAATAATGAATGTATTTGAACAAACTTATACCATGGAGGAAGATCTTGATGACACTTGTGCACCATCACTAATTTTCCTGCTGCTCTTGTCAGTAGATAACTTGCCCATGGTACTAGATACACCTTGAAATGTTTCGTCATTACGTGAATCCAATAATATGTCCTCACAGTCATCATAACCGCTATCATCAACCTCTCTAACAACTGCTGAAAACCTGGTTTCCTCATCAACTTCTAGGTTCCCATGAAGTTGAATCCCTCTCTCCTACGAAGAGGAAATTCCAAAAAATGCAACTCAATTAGAATGGAAGAAGCACGGAAAGATCTCTAAGAAACCAAGAGTTCCAAATAAAAGGAAGCAATTATCCCACCTCTGCTAGATGAAGATCACGTGTATCCTCACCCTCAATTTCTCTAGCTATTCTTAGAGCTTCTTTTTCCAACTCACTCATCTGAGGACCTTTCTCAAGCTTTGTCGTATAAAGTTCCTCATTAAATGTGCTTTTTACTCCAAACAGTGTTTCATTGGCTTCAAATTGATCCCAGCCCCTAACAAACACACACATTGTAAATGTGTAAGAGTTGAAGCAACTACAAAAATCATCGGAAGATGGCTTGTCTAGACATGCAAATTTTACAATTAGATAATAACATTGGACAAAGAGAGTCTAATAGACCATGTGTTACTAATAAATTGGAGACAGAACAATCAAGCAGACCATTGTATGCATGCATCTTTCATCATATAGAGCACAAAGGGGCACTCTGGTAATGTAATTGAATGAAATTTATTTTGTATCATACGAGAAAGGGGCACTCCTCCTGAATTAACATGCAATAATCTGCTACAACAAGTACACAAGATCTTTATACCAGGGAAAGACATCTTTTTATCCTTTTGGTGATTACTGATTACCCACATAAGGGCAGCCCGGTGCACAAAGCATCCCGCATTCACGCAGGGTCCGAGGAAGGGCCGCATCGCAAGGGGTGTGATGTAGACAGGAGAGATATAAAACAAAAAAAAGCTACAGGAGGGATTAACCCTTTCCACCAAGAAATACTCTGCTCCAAAGACAGTTGAAGACTTGAAGTGACTTGAAATATGATTCAGAAACAAAATAACAATTAAACCATAAGAACTTTTCCAGTGCTAACATCGGGCGCAGTCCAACTCAATGTCTTACTTAAGCATAATTGAATTCATATTTACTTAGCTTTAGAGAAAAAGGGATGTCTATAAGGAGGAATTGCACAAACAACACTTCGACGACAAAGGAGGAGTATGTTCTGGATAGGAAAATGACATAGAGCCAGATAGAAAGAGAAGCAGTGAGACAAATGATGTAGGTTATGCATGAGGGATGGGACCAAGAAAATACAATGATGCCCCAATCCCACAAATGGAATAATTGGCATATGAATTCTCACTATCCATTTGCTCTATTTAGACCCATTTCATTCGAACATTCAAAAATTTGGGGTTCTCTATGCTAGAATTTGTATTTCCTACGAACACGCATATCTAAGTGGACTAAATCACTAAAAAGACTCTTAAAAGCACTGGACCTAATGTAAGCATAACACCAAGACCAAGCCTTAATCCTGCTAGTGTGTGTCACCTATACGGATCTTTCCGTTCCATTCTGTCCAATTTTCGACTAAATCTGCATGGATACCAGAGATTGTAGGCCTATATGAATATGATGCTCAAGAACAACCAACATAACCATCCCACTAGAAGTATGCAGAGAGTTCTTTTCTTTTAACCACACTAATAATCAGTTTCCACAAGAGCACAGGATAATTATATAAGAAGTTGATAATACATGCTCAATCAGGTTAATTACTTTGAGATACTATCAAATTAACTATTGTATAGAGAACTACAAATAGCTAATAAATCCACGAACAATCAAAGGAAATGATGTGAGCTAACAACCTATTCCAATGGCCATCAAATATATTATCTAGTTCAGGACATTCAGGAGCATCATCATCAGGTACCCAGCGTTCCAACTGCCGCTCTACCTCATTATGCCGAGATTGTGAAATGCATGAATCTGTCAAAAGTTCCTGCTGCTTTTCCAGCATGAATTCTGTTCTGAAGCCATCTAAAGTTACAGGCACACCCTACTCCAAGCAATAGAGCATCATCAGTATAATTAAATCTAATGTACCAGTTTAAAAAGAGATGATAGAAAGTGACAAAAATCTGAGTCAAAAATCAATTAAAAATGATATATAAAGGTCTTTCATGAAAAGACCATCACCATCATATACTGTGGCCTGATTTGTTTGGTTGATTATTTAAAGATATGTTTTTGTTGACGGTGCATAAAGTAATTGCCAGAAAGAATTATAGTAGTTGCACACAAACCTTTGCTGTAACTTGCACAAACTCTTTACCCGGGATTATTAAAGTCTTTGATGGAGGCTTGCTAAAAGTTTCAGAAGTATTCTTCATTCCCTCTGTACTATCTTTTATCAAGTGGGCCATTTTCAGAATAATACCTGTGCCAGGTGAAGGTAAAAAAGCTGATGTTTAATATAAAATAGTTAAAAATATGTCAAACAATGTTTTGAGTCTTTAATTGATACCCCAAAAAAGATACTGCATTCTAATTTAATTTTACTAATTCTAACATACCAGAATCTTTTTCAGTGTTTGCTGCATGAAGTATTCCTGAAAACACAGATCCGTCCAGCACTTGTACTTCCACTTGATGTCCAACAAGACAAGTAGTTAAATAAACTAGTCGATCACGTGACGGGCTTTGATATGCTCCCCCTTTACCTGGAACACTTGGAGTTAGACCTAGGGAAGAAATCATGGATAATTCTAAGTCAGCGGTTCTCACCTACACCAGCAAATTGACGGGAAGTAGCTTTTCCAGATTGAACTTTACTCTCCAACCTAGTACCCACTTCTTTTTCAACTTTACGACGGCCATATCCATTGGCAGAAGGCCTTGGCTGCACAGGCTGCTGCATCGTCCTCAAAAATGTGTTTATAGGCGAGATGCAGTTCAGCTCGGGTTCAGTCTGTACACTGCAGAAGACAACACTCCTATAAACAAATAACCCTTACTGCAAAGATGGAAATGTAAAAGAAGCATCTTTTTTTGCAATCTTAGCAAAGTACATAACTGCACAGTACACACCAAGGCGATAATCAAGACCTGAATCTTCCAGTAGCTGTTACCAACAAACCAGAAACAAGAAGTATAGAATGCGAAAATATTGCATCTTTTGAACAATAGCTAGGCGTAAATGCACTTTGTTGAACTGAGATTAACAAGATTCAAAGTAAAATAGAAGGCAGTGTCCTCTGCAATGCAAGGTGAGAATTACATGTTAATAGATGCAGACCCTTAATTTCTCTTACGACTAATAGAGAGTTTTTGAAATGAATTCATATAACATCACAGATGGAGATCTTCAACCAGCCTAAATCACAGATGGAGATCTTCAACCAGCCTAACATATACTGCTTAGAGAGATAACTAATAGTATCGGAATTAAATGTTAAGGAGGTATGTAATATTTACGATAAGACAAAACCTCAACGAAAAATGACCACTATTCATTGTTAGAAATTGATAGCAAAGTATAGGTTAATCTTGCTGGATTCTACACATAATGTTATTCGGAGTACTTAAACCACATTGTATAGGTTCATCACAAGATGTATTGGATGAGAACCAAAGTAAAGCCAATGTTCTAATCACTTCCAAAAATACTTGGCATTTCTATAACCTAGATTTGGGTGTTGCTTCATTCTGATTCCAAGCAATGACCAAAACTTTTTACATCTTGAAATAGTCACTTCTATCTCATCCAATTGAGACATAGAAGTGAGCAAAGAAACATCCTAAACATACATACACACAGAGACCATATGAATGGCATCCATAACTTTAAGGAATTAACTGTTCAATACTAACTAGCACAATTTGACCTACTAATAGAAATGACCCAAAGCATCCTTATGATACTGACAGAAGTATATTATCCTAAAGAAACACCAACAGGATTATCCTTTTCCCTGTTTTACGCGATCAAGATTACAATTACCAACTACAGCAGAAGTTGCATATGTCAAAAAATATGATCCAGGGGCTAAGTAACTAACTACAAAAACTCCACAAACACAAGTAGATTACAGAAAAACTGTAGATTCATAGATGAAAAAGAAACACAACAGTTATCCCTCCCCCACCCCCAACCCCAACCCCTTTTTTTAAGTATTTATTTCCAAAGAAAAGGAGAGCTCTTGTATACAAGAAATGTACTGGAAGAGAAAGCTTTAAGCAAGAAGATGGCTTTCCACAAATTACATCTAATATGCAATTTGTACTCCAAAATACACAACAAATAAAAGGTCCAACGAATCTGGAAAAGGACTATTATGTCCCTGCAATAGCTCTGAGAGTTGATGTAAGAGCATCAAGGGGCAACTTATTTGGCAGAGTTCGACTTTTGACAGTCAAACCTTTTTATTTCATCACTATCTTTCCATATTTGACAAAAATGCTTACAATATAATCATCACCTTCATAATAATTTTTACTGTAATTTTCCATTATTCAAGTTTCAACCGACAGTAAATTAAATTCAACATTTGATTGGCTTGACCTGAAAGCCAAATTATATCACATAAAATAGCACAAAAGAAGTGTTTGTTCCGGACGGTAACGGTGTAACCCCCATTTTTTTTTTTTAAATGGTGGTGTCCGGCTTAGATTGATATTCCCACAAATGCCTGCTATCTCCCAGCAGCACAAACACAGGGTAACTCTACCACCCAAGACTTAGCCAGATGGGAAGAAATCACCCTCTCCAATGTTTTCATCTCATTGACCGTTGGGTACCCTTGGGTGCAAAAGCAAACCCAGCCTCACTTCTGATGCTTAAGATAGACCAAATTGCTAGAATAAAATAAATATACACACACGTCTATGTATGTATGTATGTATGAGTAGCTTTAGAATAACAGGATTGGTAAATATTTGGGTGCATCTTTCTAACTTGATATATCAAGATTTTGATAATTCATATTCAAGGATGGGTGGCAAGACTAAGGCTTTGTGTACTTCAATTATCATAAATAGAATATATTATCAGTTTGGATTCTCAAAGCGCCAAGAAAGGTGTGTGTTTTTGTATAGTTGGCGGCTAGAGGAGTGATTTTGACTACCAAAAACTCGAAGAAGAGGGGGATCTCCTATGTTAGTAGGTGTGTCATGTGCAAAAATTTGGGAGAAGATGTGGATCACCTTCTATTGCATTGCCAGATAGCATCATGACTATGGAAGGAGATTCCGAGATGGTCTGGGTTAGTATGGACCATGTCGGTTAGCTTTAAGGTGGATAGTGTGGATAGAGAGAAATAGGAGATCTTTTAAAGGAATTGAGCATGATTTTGAACATTTGAAGAATAGTCGTTTATCATTAATATCTTTTTAGTGCACCAGTGATGTTCCTATATGTATTGAAGGATGAGTGTCTTTTGTAGAGAACCATTTATTTTTATAGGTTCTCCATCTTTTGTATATTTCTTGTCTACGGGAGTTTTCCCCAGTATTAATAGAATTACTCCTTACTTGATCAAAAGAAAAAAAGGAATAAAATATCAATCTTTGCTTGACACTAAGCTAAAATGACTTATATTTTCCATCTTTAAAAAAATGACTTGTATGTTCCAAAGGGATTCAAATTAACAAGGAAATACATGTTCAACTCACTAAAACCGTAGCAGATTGTTCTAAGAAATTTGTGAAAAACACCACCTCTATCATCTATATACTTTCTTTTCGAAACAGTACTTTATTAGCATTTCTATACTTGATTTAAAGGAGGGAAATGACCTTAAGCTCAAGGTCAGAGTGTTTTCTTCCTATAATTAAGTAGGGGTTTCATTGATAAGCTCAAGATCATTAGATCAGAGACTTGGTGAAGGAACAATTATGAACCTAACTAAAACCTCAATCGCTCTTAAGCTTTTAAATGATGAACTTTTCCAGTCAAATATTGAACTAATAGAAGGTTATAACGTGTAGAAAGGAACAATGATGAACGTGCAATACGGATGAGAACATAGAACACTTCCCGGAAAAGGGAAGCAGCAACTTGCCAAAGAATTTTTTTTCCATTCAGTGAAAACTTGAGCTAAAGTCTTCTATCCAACCTGCATTCAGTGTCTTTTAGCTCTTTATTTCTTTCTTTCTTTTTCTGTGGTATACATAATCATACCAAGTGATAACTGGAGTCTACAGGCTTACAATTGCTAGTTAACATACAACCAACAATAAGAGCTAAATTGGCAAGAATAAACAACATAATCCATAAAAAAAAGTTTCTCTACAGCGCCCAACTTTCCAAACAAGCAATCAACGTAATAAGAGCTGATCCAAAATCACCTACTCGATTGAAAATAATAGCTTTGTAGCTACTTTACAAAATCTTAAGTAATCAATAGAAATCCCAACTTCAAAGGGATATTTTTTAAAAAAAAAATTGTTTTCAAAACCCTAGACCCATTTTCTTGTGCGATCCAAACTAGGTGATCCGTCAATACAGATGTAGATAAGGAAGACGAAACTTACAAAGAGAGATGGGGAGAGAGAGAATGTAGCGATCGTAGCGAAGAGAATTGAATTTGATCAGAAACGACACCGTTTTACGTCAACGGAATTGGAAAGGCTGAAGAAGTCACACCGCGTCTACCGCCACCGAGAAAACTGAAATTGCCCAAATTGCAAAAATGGGTTCTTTCTCTTACACGGAGTACATTATGATGCCCTCCCTCTATGGATCTTGTCTTATTTTACTAATTTACAATGTTTAGATAATAAAATACAATAAAGACTGACTAGCAGGACTAAACACAAAATTTAATATACTTGTTTATACATCATTTGAATTTTATTTTTATGTTATGCAATAATTTATATTATTTTTATGTTATGCAATAATTTATATATTATTTTATAGGAGACAGAATAAAAAATAAACAATATAAGCATTAGTAATAAGTAAACTAAAATAACTTTTCTAATTAAGATTTTACTAAAACGACAATATAAGTGTAAACGATATTCCTTATTATTTTATTTTCTTGTAAGTATAAGTTAACGGTGTAATGAAACTTTTACACTAATCTTTAAAGTTTAATTTGTTATAGAAGGTTATTTAATTTTTTTTTAATTACTAATTCACTTATTATGTTTAGCTAGTTACTTCTAATTATTTTTGAAATGGCATGATATATTAAAAACTGCATTAATTAAACTATCAAAGTATAGAAGTCAAACTTTATCTAATGGAGTATACTTTTAATGCCTATTGGCAAAGAATCCAGCTTTTTAGAAGTCAAACATAACCATTTGATTCCCACACCTATATGTCAGACCTCCATCCTTCCTTCCAATTATCTTTTACAAGGCATTTCCTTTTTCATTTCTTTCCTTCCCTCTTTTTACTTGTAATAATTTCTTTATACTAAATATGTAAATAAACCACATAAATATGACCAAGGAAACAAATTACTACTTGATTAGTACCATTGTTGCAAATGTGCAATAACTAGATTAATACTGATGCCACACCGACAAAAAAGAAAAAGAGTAGCTAGATGCACTAAGCTCCCGCTATGCGCGGGTTCAGGGAAGGGCCGGACCACAAGGGTCTATTATACTCAGTCTTATCCTGCATTTATGCAAAAGGCTGTTTCCACGACTCGAACTCGTGACTTGCTAGTTAACTTTAGGCTCCCCTTCCTAGATCTCCCAGACAATTGGTACTTTTTCATCTTTCCACTAAACTACACAAGCCAAGAAATTGATCACAAATAAGGAACAAAAGCCATTACTATAAAACTGCTCATTCACTGAGCAATGGAGCAGGTATTCCACAAGTTCATGTTACAACAAATTTAAAATGCCAAACTTTTGAAAAGCTATGATGGTACAATATCAACTCTATCCCTGCTGGTGGTCTACTTCCTTGTTCCTGATTAGGGTAACAAGTTTCAACTTTGATAAATTACACTGCGCGATACATAAGGCAGCCTGCATTCTATCTGGAAACAATTTGATCTACTTAATCAAATAAACGAAAGCAATTGCTAGGTTCTCCAATCGTCAGCAGAGTCTCCAATGATTCTATAAAGCATAGGAGTATCTTTTCAAGTGATATAATTGACAGGAGGGGTTCGTGTGGCCTCCAGATGAACGCGTATCAGCAAATCAATTCATGATTATACATGAAGCAGGCATTTTGACACGACGAACCTCAAAACAAAAGAATGATCACCATTACTATGACTTAGATATGAACGTGATACTCTAGTCGTTAAGTCACCATATAAGAGAAAGCAGCGGAACCAAAGTTCCCCTAAAGACGTAAATTGATCTTCTCAGACCATTTAAAGATATCTGAGTGAACTCTATCACCTCCCAAATCTTTGCCAGTAGCACCAGCTGCAACTCTCATAATATCTTCAATCAAAGCAAAATTTCCCATTATATCAACATGTGCACCGCTCTGAGTACCACGACCCTCAAGAAGATTAGCAGGAGGAGCATGATCATATTCCCTTAAATAAGTTTTGATCCCTGAAGGATTAAACCTAGTTTTCCCGCGCCATCCTTTGGCACACATAAAGCCAGCACTTAAAATAGGCACCGTCTCATCGCCATCAACAGTGAAAACACCATTCTTCAAGCAACCTTCATTCCCTTCATCAGCTGAAGTATCAATCTGGAATGGAATATGACATTGTGCTATTGGTGTCTGCTTGTAAACATATGCTCTTTCAGTTGGAATACCGACTCCATACATTGAATAAATCTCCATGTCAGGAGCATTTGGTAACCTGCAGGGTTATTAAGGTAAACATGAAATGTCGAGGCTACTTCCTTTTATAACATAAATGTCGAGGGAAAAGAGATTAGACGAGGAAAGATCTCGTCTCCACGAAGTAAAAAATGAAGAACCATATCTACCTGTGAAATATCAAGTAACAAGAGGCGTCCTGTGTACGAAGACTATGAACTAAAATAATGTGGAGATAGAAGTGCAAGTGGAAGAGCTCACTTTGTTTCCAATGGATTTGACCAGTATTTGTAGTGTGAAAACTTTGGATCATCCAAATCTTCAGCTATCCCATATGAAAATTGAGCATCTCCGCGAGCCATCATTTTTGGGGCAACAAAGTTGAGCAAATCCAAAATATCACCAGCTGTATAAACCTTGTATTCTTCCACTGCTTTGATACCAGCAACACCCATGTCATAGTATTCGGTCCACACATCGCATGTGTTATTTGCAACATTTGTGCCCTTCACTGCACCCTGCATGTAAAAAAACGCTAGCTACTTCCAGGCAACAACAAGTGAGTGGGAAAGAGATAATTCCGGCAAAGCTTGTAGTACCAGATATTAAGGCATAAATTGACATGTCAAAATATTGGAACTTAGTATAATAAGCTTATGAACACGAACCACGGAAAGACATAGATTTAGACATCACATATTATTCACCTTAGTTGCCATTCAGTTAAATCCATGGTACTGCTGAATTATGTCCATCTTATATGTGTTTCTGTTGACCGCTATGTAGTTATTATTTTTATTTGTTTTTCTTTGCTGTATAAGCTAGCATTTCCCTTAATATTTGCAGACTTAAAACGATTCTAGAAAAGTTATCATAGAAAATAAAGGGTGAAGGTGGAAACTATCATATCCTATACCCTACATAACACCAAGCACATCTGCTCGGGTTTTAAGATAGGAAACCATGCATGACGCATCCCATGTGCGTATACGACTCATCTTTGGCAATTCTCAAATCAGAAATGTAATGTTAAGTGACAGCTCTACCAATGCTATGCCTCACAAGTGTTTTTCTCAAGCAAAAAAAAAAGCAGAAACCTTAAATGAACCAGAATAAGAACTTCCTGTCAAAGCGCTAATTTGTTTACAGATAATAAATCTTATGGTGCTCTTTCATGTTTATGTTGAGTCTTAAAAGTTCTAATTTGCAAAGTATCCTTAAAACTGTCATCCATAATCTTCAAATAACCCACAATAGACTCAAAGTTGAAACAAATAGAAGAAAGCATGGAAATAGGTATAGAACGAAAAATAAGGAGCAGTTGGAGTTCTGATTAGCATTACTCTGAAGTCGATCCTCTTAAGATCTGATGAATGTTTCTGTGCTGCATCCTTTCCAAATGCTATCATCCCTCCATAATTAATATATTTTTCTTTAGATTCTATAGTTTGATTGTCATTACGGCTTGATATCTGATTATTGTTGTCTCTTTGCTTTCTTTTGCAAGGAGAATAGCCTTCTTCAGGTGACCAGTCAACACCAACCCAAATCGTTTCTCCTCCTTTTGGTATCATAGACATGGTAGAATCCCATGTCCGCAGCATCTTCATTAAGTGCGGTAGTGTTTGAATGCGAAATAAATCCTTGTCCATAACAGCCGGTGCTATAGCCCTGAAATATAAGGTGAATTACTAACAAACAAGGAGAACGACAAAGGAAGAAGGAACATATTACACGCAAAAGTAATTCAGGACGTTTAGCTTCCGTGACTGCTTACTTAAAATCATTTACATATAGCATTTAGTTTTAAAGCATAAAAAGCTATCAAATAGTATCTTGCGGAACATCAGGTATTCATACTGAAAAGTTGAGGAAAAAGGAAATAAGGATGTATGTCACATGTTCAACTGCAGTTACTACTCAACCTACTAGTATTATCAAAGAAGAGCTGGTAAGGTTTCAGAACACAAGACGAAAGCATAAAAAACAAGAAAAACTCCCAACATCAACAGAAATTTGATGCATTACACTACTTCTAGAAAGGAAGAAATGATTTAGCTCTATTAGCAACATTCACAGGAACCAAGTTTACCTGGCAACAGCAATATCCCGCGCTTCTGCTGAGAAAAGCGAAGCTAGTGCTTTAGGAACACCAAGAAATGGCCCACCAATATTCATCACTGCTTTAATATGCCTGGCGCACCAATCAGGACCACCCCCACCGCCCATTGGAGCCGGTGTTTCCACCCATTTCATAAAATGCAGAAAGTATATAGCCCCCATAGAATGTGGAACAATGACTGCCTTATTGCCCCTATTAGTTGCAACCATCAGTTCTATTTTGCTTTTTATGTGACTTAGTGTCTGGTCGCGCACCTGAATGAATCGAGCATTATCGTTACAACTGATTCAGGAAACAACAAAGTTCAAGCAAAAGGATAATCCCAAATAAAGTGACATTTATACCTCAGTATTCTGAAATGAAAGCCTCCAGTCATATGCAGCCATATACATTGTTTTCTCCTCATATCCTATTCGCGCCAAATTAGCAATCAAAACTGCCCACACAAAATATCCAGGTGCAAAGTAATCAGCAGCAACAAGTCCAGCAACTGGCCTAAGCCTAATACCCGGAGGATCCAACCCAGATTCATTGTCCAATGACATGTGTTCCACCCAGCACAATGGTCTGTAACCATCACACAGAATAAATGAAAATCAAAAGTAACTTTTTGCCATGTTCTTGAAGACATAGGGTGTGTTTGGTACGAAGGAAAATATTTCCATGGAAAATGTTTTCCTAGAAAATGTTTTCATGATTTTATCACTTATTTTCCCTTGTTTGGTTGGTGAGTGGAAAATATTTTCCGGAAAATATTTTCTATTGTTTGGTTAGAGAGTAGAAAATATTTTTCTTAGGAAAATATTTTTTATGCAACTCTCTTCCCCTCCCCCTCCCCCCACCCCTCCCC